AAGGAAAGGAAAGGAAAGGAAAGGAAAGGAAAGGAAAGGAAAGGAAAGGAAAGGAAAGGAAAGGAAAGGAAAGGAAAGGAAAGGAAGAAAGGAAAGGAAAGGAAAGGAAAGGAAAGGAAAGGAAAGGAAAGGAAAGGAAAGGAAAGGAAAGGAAAGGAAAGGAGAGAGAGCGAGAGAGAGCGAGACAGAGACAGAGACAGAGAGAAGAGAAAGTCTGGCTAGAGAGGCTGGGCTGGCTTGGAGAGTAAGAGTACTTGACGAAGATCTGATATTGGATCCCAAGCCCCCGTAGAAACAGCCAGGCACAGCTGCTCATGCCTGTAAACCCAGCATTAAGGAGCAGAGACAGGTGGATCCGGTTGGCTCAGGGGCCAGCAAGCCTAGACAAAACATCGGGCTTCCAGTCCAACAGCAATGGAGGAAGGTGCCGGGCACCTTGCTCTGGCCCCTACACGGGAACACATGTGTGTGCACACCCATACACCTACCGGATTTATAGTTCTCAACCTGAGTGTGCTAGAAATGTAGTTGAAATGCTAGATTTCTGGCCTCCTCTGAATCACCCCTGGGGACTGGGACTGGGGATCCCTGTTACCAAAGTGTGGTTTCAGGACCACACTTTGAGAAACATGACTTTGGGAACAGCAGTAGCAGCCAGAGAGCAGCTCTATCCAGGTCGGTCTGAGCTCTGGAGCAGATGGTGGGTATACGTGGGGTTTTCACTGTGAAAAGCTGCCCAGAGCTGGAACTGAGCTCCCTGGGTCCTAAGAGAAGCACCGGTAGTCAGGCTAAGCCTTGGGAAACAGACCCTTCCTGATGGTCAATCTCCCCATCCCCCACAAACCAGAGAGCAGTGTACACTGGGACCAGGATGCAGGCAGCACCCGAAGAAAGAAACCTTGAGCGTCGTTACCACTCTACATTACTGCCCTGTGTGTGTGTGTCTGGATGCTGATGTCCCCACTCTCCAGAAGGGGTGTTGATGCAGGACGTTGGAAACACTGAACTCACAGAATGCGTTTCCCCAAGTTCAGGGTCACCTGCTTTTTACCAGACGCTCAAAGTAATTCAGGAGTGTTGGCCATTGGGTGGTATGTCCAACTCCCTGGTCCTCAGTGTGACACTCAGTAGTAACGAAGGGTGTCACAAAGGGGAAGTGACGCCCCCAGGGAGTGTTTGCTGTCGTGTGTGGCACATTGAGAGATGATGGCTGAGCACAGCCCTCTGCCCTGAGGAAGAGTGCCCAGGAGTTCAAAGGAGCTACTGACCCTCAGGAGCCTGGTGGACAGCAACATACCAAACCCCTCAGAGGGCAGCAAGTAGCTGAGTTCAGCCATGCGCATGTAGGACCTGAGGAAGCCAGGGGTGGGGTGTGAAACCCTGACCCGGATCCAGAACTGAGCACAGCCTTAAGATGGAGAGAGAGAGATGAAAAATCTCAATTCCATGTGGTTGGCCTTGCATCCAAGTTCAATTAGTGGAACTCATTTCAGCCCATTCTATTCTAAGGAAAGCTTTCAGAAATCCCAAAGAAATCATTCTAAATAAAATTGGTGTCTTTTGCCCAGGAGCAGTCCCACCCCCTGCCCGGATGTCAGCATTGTGAGGACAGCCCATGTGCTTTCTTTATTTTTGACAGGGGGGTTGGTTTTTTTTGTTTTTTGTTTTTTGAGACATGGTTTCTCTGTGTAGTTTTTGGTGCCTGTCCTGGATCTCATTCTATAGCCCAGGCTGGCCTCGAACTCACAGAGATTCCCCTTGGCTCTGCATCCTGAGTGCTGGAATTAAAGGCGTGTACCACCACTGCCCTTTCCCCGTCCCTTCTAGCCTGAAATTTGTTATTCCAAAGTGAAGCCCGTGACAGCCATTTTCCTGTCAGCCCAGGATTTACTCCAGTACAGCTAACTCTCTTCACAGCTCAAGCTCCACGCACGAACCTGACAGGACTCCATGTTATTGCAGGGAGCAACAATTTGACAGATGTCGGTTACAGAAATATGTAGTGACGTTAGGCTGCTCATAGAGGGTATTTTTACTGAACACGACTATTTAGCTCTTGACTGTAACACAGGACCCCCAAGCATCATCAGTTTGGGTAATGTATTTGTGGCGGTTTGAAAGAAAATGGCCCCCAAAGGGAGTGGCACTGTTAGGAGGTGTGGCTTTGTTGGAGGAAGTGTGTCACCACGGAGGCGGGCTTTGAGGTCTCATATATGCTCAAGCCACACCCAGTACTACAGTTCACTTCCTGCTGCCTTTGGATGGAGTTGTGGAATCCGCCAGCAGCATGTCTGACTGCACACTGCCGTACTCCCAGCCACCAGGCCCCCCGCCATGATGGTGATAACTAAACCTCTGCAATTGTCAGCCGCCACCCCAATGAAATGTTCTCCTTTATAAGAGTTGCCGTGGTCATGGTGTCTCTTCACAGCAATAGAAACCCTAACTGAGACACTATTAAAGCTTAAACCCCTCCCCTGTGGCCACGTAGATGACAGTATTATAGGAATCGCTATCATTGTGATGGAATATGAGGGGAGTTAAAGAAATAGTACCATATCCAAGACCGTGGATAGAGTAACTTATACCTGTGACTGTGACTACATTTTATTTTAAAGAAATAAGCGTTGTCTAAATGACTTGCAGTGTGAAAATCACTCACCAGTTAAGACGGACTCGATGGAATCCCCGGTGTCTCCGTTCAGACGATGTCCGTTTTGGGAACAAGAGCTGGCTAACAAGTACTCCTGTAAGCTGGTAGGTTTGTGTCCTGCGGGACATCAACCTTTCAGGCTGTGTGGTTTTTACATCAGGGCCTTCCTATTTTGCCTGGGATGTGGTTGTCACCTGGGATACCGCCTCCTTCCTCTCAGATCTGTGAGGACCAACATCCCCCCTGGGCCTGAAAACTGAGGTCTGCCCCTCAGAGCTGGTGCAAGGCTCCTTTGGACTGATGCCCTTCATGTCTAAAGTGAGGGCTTTTCCCCATGAAAGAAGGGAGGCCAGAAAAAGGAGGCAGAGAATTGGGAAATAATGCAGGATGCTAGTGTTTAGGAAGAGAGGTGTCAAAAATTGGTGGCCTTTGGAGAAACGGTTCAGTCAGCTAAGAGCCTGCTGCACAAGCGTAAGGATCCGAGTTCAGATCCCAGCGGCCTTGAAGAGATGGCACAGAGGCTCAAGTCTGTAATCCCAGTGCTGAGGGGGGGGGGCTGCAGACAGGAGGATCGTTGGGGCTCGTCAGCCAGCTACTCTAGCCAGTCAGTGGCCCAGGGTCAGTGATTCCCTGTCTCAGGTAATGAGGCAAAAGTGATGGACAGGGACACCCGATGGCCTCCTTGAGCCTATGTAAATGTGCACAGGTACACACACACATAACAACAACAACAACAAAAACAAACTTCAGAAAGAGGGAGTCAGTGAGATGGCTCAGCAGAGAGTGGCACTTGCCACCAAGCCTGAAGAACTGGCTTCAATTCCTAGAACTCACACAGTGGAAGGAGAGAACCAACTCCTCTGACCTCACACCTGTGCTGTGGCATGCATGTTCCCACATACACCCACACACATGAATATGACCTCACACCTGTGCCGGGGCATGCATGCTCCCATATACACCCACACACATGAATATGACCTCACACCTGTGCCGTGGCATGCATGTTCCCATATACACCCCCACACATGAATATGACCTCACACCTGTGCTGTGGCATGCATGTTCCCATATACACCCACACACATGAATATGACCTCACACCTGTGCCATGGCATGCATGTTCCCATATACACCCCCACACATGAATATGACCTCACACCTGTGCCGTGGCATGCATGTTCCCACATGCATGAATAAGTAAATATAAAAATTCTTTAAAAAATGTTAAAGTGGACCATTGTAGATGAAGACATTGGATGTCACCCTCTGGCCTTCACACACACATGTGCATGTTCACACACATATGTGCACATACACAGAAAACACACTACACACCTCCAAAAGTTACAGCGGTAGAACCAACCCTGGCGATGGAAGAGCTGCCGCACCGAAACGGAAGTTCCATGAGCTGTCAGTCAGTAAGTTGTGCTGACTCCATACAAATAACGAGTGCAGGCTGGATGACAAGCCCGCTACAGTCATGTCAGAGCGGTGACAAGAACGGCCTCAGAGAGCAGAGTCCACGGGGTCTCTCAGGACGGTTGCTCGTGAAGTGGCCCTGCCAGCAGAGCTGACGTTCACTGCTTTCCTAGGTGGTCTTTCTCGCTGATGAGTACTGCAACTATTGCCGAGACGTTTTGCAGAGTGTGAGGAACCAAGAGCTGGAGAAGGTAGGCCTGGATCTATAACGTACAAGCACTTACGATCGGCTGTCAACCACGTAACTCGATCAGACCCCTCCAGGGATACCCAGAGCTGTCCCTCTGCCTCAAACGGCTCATCACGTGACTGTCCGGTCCTTGGCGAGGTCTGGGAAGTAGTCTAGCCTCAGCACAGTCGTTGGGAAATTCTTCAAGGTTCTGATGTGGGTATCACGATGCTTGAAGAACCAGTTTCAACTCAGCCCGAGTAAAGCATGGGTAGCAATAGCCTCCTTGTTTTCCAATAATGCTGAAGCCATTTTATCAACATAGGGCATGGAAAAAGAAACAGGACTTAAGGGTTGGGTACTACTCAGTGGTAGAGCGCTTACCTAGCAAGCACAAGGCCCTGGGTTCGGTCTTCAGCTCCAAAAAAGAAAAAAGAAAAAGAAAGAAACAGGATTTTGAGGAAAGTGATCAGGCATGGGTATTGAAGATTTTATTCTAGAACTGTCTGTGTGGCATTGGTGATACATCCCCTACCTATAGTGTGAAGCTCTGGGGTCTCCCTTTTACAGAAGGAGGGTTTAGAACTGCCTGTGGAAAACACAATTATTATTATTATTGTTATTATTATTACTATTATTATTATCATTATCATTATAGTTATTATTATTGGTTTTTTGAGACAAGATTTCTCTGTGTAGTTTTTGATCTTGCTCTGTAGACCAGGCTGGCCTCGAACTCACAGAGATCCCCCTGGCTCTGCCTCCCGAGTGCTGGGATTAAAGGTGTGCACCACCACTACCTGGCACACACACACACACACACACACACACACAAATAATAATAATAATAACAACAACAATAATAATAATAATAATAATAATTTTTAAGTTACCGTTTTCTATGTGTGAGCATGACATGTGTGCGGGGCAGAAGACAACTTCCAGGCGTCACCTCTGCCCTTCCACCGTGTGGCTCAGGGGTGGAACTCAGGAAGTTGGGCTTGGCAACATACACTGTGCCATGCTGCCTGCCCAGATTTTGCTTTTCCAAGTGTGAGATTAAAAGCCCAGGGAAACAAGGGCACCCCCGAATGAAAGTTTCCCTGATGCTTTTGGGATCTAAGCCCTTCAGCTTTGAGCGGCAAGCCACCCAGCATGCACACACGTGCTGTGGAGCCAGGGTGAAGCATTACAGCGCAGGAGAGGCCCAGCGCCCCCTTGTTCTGCCTGCAGCCTCTCAAAGCTTCCCTCGCTCGCTCGCTCACTCAGCAGATATTTGTGTAAATCATGTCCTGTGACAGGCTCCATTTCTGGGACGAGCAAGGCATTTTTCCCCAAAGCTTGAGAAACGTATCATTTGGTAATGAAAGGAATAATGTTGCCCAATAAGTCTGATGAGTCCCAGAGCTGTTCATTAGTCACCTTTTCCTGTTAGTCAGTGACCGTGAGCTGCGGCAAAATACCTGAGATAAGAAACTTAAAAATGAAGGGGCATTTCTTTGCACTTACAGTTTGGGAAATTTCGGGCCGTGTTTGATTGGCCTCATCATCATTTTGCGTCTGTGAGGAGGCAGAATATGAAGGCGGGGAGTGCGGGGCAGAACAAAGTGTTCCGCCTGGGTGAGACACTAGGAGAAAGAGGAAGAGAGGAAGACTCACAACCCTCTTAAAGGCCACACCCCCAGGGGCGGGGATACTGCCTACTAGGTCTAACTCTTAAATGCGCTACCACCTTCTAATAGCATTACCAGCCAAGACCAAGTCTTTAGCCTATAGGCCATTGGGAGATATTTCACATTCAAACTCTAACAGTTACTGTAACAAAATACCTGGGAAGCGCTCCTTTACGAAGGAAAAAAAAAAGTTTACTTTGGATCACAGTTTTAAAGGTTCAAGGTCTTAAGGACTTCATCTGGTGATAGCTTTCTTGTTGGCAACCCAGAGCAACACAGCAGATCGTGTGTGTGTGTGTGTGTGTGTGTGTGTGTGTGTGTGTGTGTGTGTGTGTGTGAACATATCTGTCTGCCTGTAATCCTCCACTTCTTATATAGCCATGAGCATCCAGTCATCAGGCCTCTACCCTGATGGCCTTCTATAGTCCAGGTCAGTCCCCTGAAGTCCCTGCCTCTAAACACTGATGCCTTCATTCTCCACAATGAGTATTAACTCTGGCCCCCACCCCCACACCACAAAAGTTCAGAGGAGGACAAACCATAGCAGTCTGCATAGTTAGAATGTTCTGGGTGCCCAAAGAGGAAGAGCAAAAGCTGAAAGGACCCCCAAAGCAGGTGGCCATGCTTCTGCCAATGCTGGTAGGAAAGGCAGAGGCCGAGCAGCAGTCAGAGCCCGGACAGAAGCGGTTCCAGGTGGAGCCTACATTGTGGGCAGAGGCGGCAAGATGTCCCCCAGCGTGAGATGATGATGAAAGAGTCCATACCTAAAGGAGATGATGGTGGAGGCTGGACTAGCCAAGTTCCTGCCTCCCTCCCCCAAAGCTCCAACCCAATGGGAGAATAGGGAAGGCCACCATTTTGGATGTGTCTGGATAGAAGTTTCATCAAGGTCAAGGTGAGAAGAGATGGTGTTCAGTCTTGGTTAGAAACAGATATCAAAGAGAGAGGGACACGTTGGAGAAACACTTGTGAATGTTACTCACTAGTGAGCAGGAGCAGGGAACTTGGAGCATGGGTCGCCAACCAAGCTATAACTCGATGGAGACTCCCAGCGTAGCATTTCCTTGACTCTCTTTGGAGAAGTCTCCTGTCAACAGGATCCCAAGTCAAGGTCCTCACCGTGGCTCTCACTCCCTCGACAGCCTGAACTGGGACTTGCTTCCTGCTTGGGGTCCTTGGAGGGCTTTGTTATGCCTCAGGATATCGCTGCCCATGGAAACCCCACAGGACAAGAATCTTAGGGCTGGAGAGATGGCTCAGTAGTTAAGAGCACTCACTGCTTTCATAGAGGACCTGAGTCCAGGTCCCAGAACCAACAGTGGCTCACAACCACCTGTAACTCCTGCTCCTGGGGATCTGATACCTTCTCCTGACTCAGCAGGCTTAACACATATATGTGCATACTTAGACAGACAGACAGACAGACAGACAGACACACACACACACACACACACACACACACACACACACAATTAATAATAAACCTTTAAAGGGGACAATCTTTATTAGTTGGCAACAGTCAATTTGGTTCAGAAAATGGAAATGGGCAGATAAAATAGGAAAAGGAGGAAATTGACACTTTGCCCCTCCAGTGTAGTCCGCTTGCTCTCCGAGAAGGCTCCCATAACTTCACAGTCGGTGCTGAGGAGGAGGCCCGAGGTGCAATGCTGTTACTTTTCTTTTTGAGCTGGAAAATGAGCAAAGTGATTAGTCAAGTCAGTCAGTGAACTTTTATTCTCAACCCTTGATTGGGCCCAAGGCCATCGTCTTATAGTCAACTGGAGCCCCCAGGTGGTCAGAAACAGCTTTGCATCTAGGAGGCACCCTCAGAGAAATAGATTTTCTAGCATGGGACCAAGGCCTGGCAGGCCTGCTTTGGTTGCTAAAAAGAGTAGTTTCTGCTGGAAAGATGGCTCGGTGGTTAAGAGCATTGGCTGTTCTTCCAGAGTAGCTGGGTTCAATTCCCAGCAACCACATGGCAACTCTCAACTGTCTATAACTACAGCTCCAGGGGATCTGATGCCCTCATACAGAAACACATGCAGGATGTCCTCATACAGAAACACATGCAGGCAAAACACCAGTGCACATGAAATATAGTAGTCTTTGAACATGTCTGGTGAGGCTGATAACAAAGTTTTGTGTGCCCTGGTACAAAGTATTCCAGGCCTTCAGGGTCACTGACTGTATGGGGTGAGACCCACAAGGCACATCCTGCAGGACCACTGACTGTTTGGGGGTGAGGGCCACAAGACACAGCCTGAGTTTCTGATGATGTGTTTTGTCACATTAGGTGGAAGACTTAATCACATCCTTCTGGAAATCTCTGCAGCAAGACACAGTCATGCTCATGTCTCTGCCTGACGTGCGCCAGCTCTTTGGATGCTACGACATGCAGCTGTTTAAGGTGGACAGACCCTTGATTCCCCTGTACATCCCTTCCAGAAACAGATGCCGGTGGTGGAGTTAGAACAGCACCCCCAAAACACACCGTCACAGAATAGAACACCTCCAACACACACAAGCCCAGAACAGCAGCCCCCAGTACATGCACCAACCCAGAACAGCACACCCTTACACCCACACACACACACACACACACACATACACACACACACACACACCAGTGCAGGATGAACCAGAGCCTTTTGCTCTTTTGAATTTTCTCATACAAAGAAAATAAGGACCCATGATTCAGAATTTAGAGTTTCCATATCTGGATGTACCAACCAAAGATGTTTTATTTTTAATTATTTTGCTTGTTGGCTGTTTGGTTGGAGACAGGATCCCACTGTGTAACCAAAGCTGGCTTTGGACTCACAATCCTCCTGCCTCAGTCTGTGAAGTACTGGGATCATAGGTGTTCTCAGGCCAGTCTTTTAAAAAGGCATTTTTTTAGGGGGAAGGCGGAGAGATGACTTAGAGGTTAAGAGCACTGGCTGCTCTTCCAGAGGACCCAGGATTGATTCCCAGCTCCCGCCCGGCAGCTCACAACCTTCTGTAACGCTAATTCCAGGGAATCCAATGCCTCTTCTAGTCTCGTCAGGCACTGCACACATGTAGCACACAGGCCTGCATTCAGGGAAACACTTGTACACACAAAACAAAAACAAATCAATTTCAGAAAGGAAAAGACGTTTTTGAGTGCAGATGGTTACTCTGGAACAGCCCCTGAGGGGCTTGCCTTGCCCTGGAGCTCTGGTCTCTGGGGCAGTCCCTGGGTTTTGAAGATCAGACAGGCATCGTTTCTGTGGTGAAATTGTCTTGCTCATCACAAATCTTTCCATTTAGGTTTTCAGGGTCTAGTGCCTCTAGTTTTTCACCACAGAAGCAGAAAGAAAGGAGTGGACTCGGTCCTTAAACATGTTGACTTTGGCCCTCCTGGGATTAACCAGAGTGGTGGTGGTCTTGTGGTTTGGTTTGGCTTGGCTTGGCTTTGGGTTTTTGTGTGTTTGCTTTAGTTGAATCGGGGGCTAGGGTGGATCTCCATGGCATAGTATTTGCCTGGTATGCACAATCCATCCCCAGGATCAGAAAGAAAGAAAGAAAGAAAAAAAAAAGATTCCCGTATCAATACTTGAAAATCCAGATTCCGGTCCCGGCACACCAGGGTGGCAGGGTGTCCTGTACAAGAAGCAGCAGCTGCATTAGTGACCTCGCTCAGACCTGCCGTGCCTACCGGGTCCCTGGGTGTTGGCAGCACCTGCCGCAGCAGGCCAGGTCATACTGTTGGATTCTTTCTCTGCAGGGCCTGGAGGACATCCTCCTCCCTGACTTCCTGGAGGACGTCAGTATCCAGTACCTGAAATCCGTCCGGCTGTTTAGTAAGAGATTTAAACTGTGGCTTCTCAGGGCTCTCGAAGGTTTCCCGGCCATCTTACAGATCTCCAAACTCAAAGGTAGGGTTCCACACAAAACGCAGATTCTGCAAGATGAAGAACTGAATGTTGCCACTAGGGCAGCTCCTTGCAGAGGTCGGTTGTACACAACAACTCTTTGCCCCTCGCTGATGGAATGGAGGCAGAGCCCGGTCTGCCTGGGTGATTTTGTCATTAGCACTTCTGATGGGTTCCCGGACTGAACCACACAACACTGCCTGGGTGTGCTCTCCTCAAGAGCTGTCAATGAATAGCTGAGTTCATTCAGGAGGAGAGGGAAAAGAGCACCTGCCCCCACCACCACCACCGACACCCTTCCCACCCTTCCCTTTAATAGTTTTTCCAAAGAGATGAGAATGTTGGGGTATTTGGAGATCTTGGTGAAAATTCTGGACTTCTCAGAATGTCTGTCCTAGTTAGCTCAGATTGTGGTCATACATCATGCCCTGGGTGCTCACGGGCAGCTCAGATTCATTCCTCAGTTGCTTGTGAGGAGTGGATGCTGTACAGGCTGCAAAGTCCAGCATGAGGACAGTGGCAGATCTGGTCTAGTTAGGACTTGTTTTCTGTTTCATATGCAGTCTGTCTGCTTTGCCCTCGCGTTGGGAAAGAGATGAGGACTCTGCCTGAGTTCTCTTCTCTTAAAAGCACCAGTCCCTTTGGGAAAGTTCCATGTTCATGACTAATTCGCTCACAGAGGCATCTCTTCTCAGTACCATCGCTGTGGAGTGATGCTTCACCAGGTGAATAAGGGGGACGCAAGCCAGCCTGTAGCAGCCCCGTCCAGATGCTAAGATTATAGAAGTCTCTGCCACAATGGGCTTCTGTTGGCCATGCTGCCCCTACCAGAATTCCTGAGCCATTGGGGAAAGGGTGAGCAGGCAGGTGATGAAGTGGAGTCCCAGACTCAAGCGGCCCAGCTTTCCTGCTTAGCCATGGATGCCTCCCCCACCTCCTGCACAGAGGAGCTAGAATGTGCAGTACCAATAATGGCCTTGTGTGTTGTTCTTCACAGAAGTCACTGGATTTGTCAAAAGACTCAGGAGGAAGACATACCTTTCCAACATGGCGAAGGTAAGTCGCACTCAACATCCCTGCATGTTCCTAAGGCACACGGTGAAGCTCCACATCTTCCATGAAAGAGGGAGACCATTTCATCCCACCCATAGTCAGAGGGCAGATAGGGGAGCCTGCTGGCCATTGGCTGGGGAGGCCCCCAGGTCCCATGGTGCCATGCAAGAAACCCGCCCTGCCCCTCGTACTGAAAGGCTCCGGTCACCTCTGATCTCTCTGCACAGGAGAGAAAATAGAGCAGCATTTAACAGACAGGGGAGGGATGCCCCGCGGGGGTGCCGACCTGGGCCAGCTGGTGTCAGAGGTGAGAGGTGAAAGGTGAAAGGCATCACAGCAGACCCTGTGACAGACAGATGGGCAGACAGACAGGCCTCTCCCCCTCTACATGCAGCCTCTGGGCTCTGTGTGTCTGGGGTTGCAGTCTCCTCAGCACAGAGCGTTTGCCTTCCGTGGTGATTATGTAGCTGGCGGTACTTGCTAGAGGATGGCGATGCAGTTCGATCCTCCTGGGTCCGTAGGTTCCTTCGCACAGGCTCAACTCACATCAGACTGAAAAGGATTCAACGGCCCTGACAGCTGCACCTGTACTGAGTGTGGACAGACATTCCTTGTCACTGTTCCCTCAACTATACCTTGCAACACAGCACTCGCTGTACCGAGTGTTCCAGGTCCCCTGGAGGTGGTCTAAGCTGTATGGAACACGGTATGGACTGCACACAAACGCTACGTATGTAAGGACTTGAACGTCTACAAAGCTTGGCATCCATTCCATCCCACCCACAAGCAGAAGGTAGACAGGAAAGCCCGCCTGCTGGCTACTGGCTGGGGAAGGCCTCCAGGTCTCATGGTGCTCAGCAAGAAGCTCACCCCCGCCCCACGCACTGACAGGTTCCAGTCACCTCCGCTCTCTCTGTACGCTGGCATACACAGCATCTAGGGACCAACCCCAGCTTGATACCAAGGGACAGTGGTATAACGCCAGCCCTCTGGACATGAGCCTGAAATCCTGCAAGCAGCAGATCTAGATAGAGCTTGGGCGCTGTGCCCCAAGTCCATCTGAGCTGGAGAGGAACTTAACGGGTTCTCTGTGAACCAGCCCATCCGACTAGCACACAGCCCTCCCTGGGCTCGCTGGTCTGCTGCTGCACATGCACATTCATGGGTCTGCCTGGCAGTGACGATGTAGTATGGCCTTGATTTCACCCCAGTCAGGGTGGCATGTTTGAATTCTAAAGTGAGTCCTTCTCCGAACCTTATCTCTGTTTGTATGACTCCTTGAGGATATTTACTCAACAGCCTAATGCTGCTTCCTCCTCTGGGAAATGGAGATTGGTGCAGTTGAAGGCCGGCCAACCTATACTATGAAATCATGAAATGTAAAGGTTTCTATAGTCCCCGCCTGATAGCTCAGTAAACCAGCTCTTAAAGGTTCCATTCATGTTTGAAGGTTCCCAACAGAAAGCACAGAGACAGGGCTGGAAATGCAGCTCAGGGACAGAGTGATTCCTTGGTGTGTACAAGACGCAGAATCTGTCGCCCAGAAGAAGGGAGAGGGGAAAAAAGCAGACTCCCGAAACCCTGCAGCCATCTGCTTAGTATCAAGGACAACATTGATCAATTACCCTCCAGTTTCCTTTCTTGGGTAACTTGGGCCTGGATTTGGGGTGCCGAGGAAAAGGAAGAGAGGAAGTTTGGGAGGTCTGGCTTGAGATCTGATGTTAATGGATGTTCCCATGGCCACTTTTCCTTCCCTCAACAGCAATAGGAAGCTCTGTGGTGTCCAGGGGGATTCGTCACAGTAGCAGGATGCAAATTAACTGTTCTTCTCCCTCTGCATCCTTAGACGATGAAGATGGTCCTGAAGAACAGCAGGAGAGTGGGCCTCTTGAAGTCAGACCTGCGTGCCATCATCAGCGAAGGCACTTTGGATATTTCGAAGAAGGTGCTGGCAGGTGACTCAGACCATGAAGAGGATCTGGAGAGCCACACAGAGATGAAATGTAACCCTCCTTCACAGCACTCTCCCTTTGGGGCGAGCATGGCCGGCACTAGGAAGGGCTCAGGACAGCGGAGTACTGTTTACCTTGTTGAATGTGCTCAACGCATGTCTTCCTGTAGGGGGCGACAGACAACCCAGGAAGTCCCCCATGGCATCTGCTCCAGGGGCCTTCCTGAGGGTCAGAGAGGGTGTCAGTGCCAATGCATGTTTGGGGAGAGAGTGCAAGAGAGATGAGCCTTTCTTTGTAGATGTCCTCCTCAGGGGAACAAGGGGGTGGGGTCATTTCTGCATCTGTCTCGTATCCACACAAACCCATCCTGTGTGATGGGATGGAGTTAGCTCTGGGCCTCACCAGGTTCCGCTAACCTGCTGCTAGCCTGGTAGAATTCTAACAATGCGAACGTAGTGTAGGGGTCCGGCTGCTCACCACGGCACTACGCCACAAACAGCCAGTACAGAGAGCCAGATTCCTCCCACTTGACATTTGGTAATTGTAATCATTTCCAAGAAAGGAATTTTTTTTTCTATAAAGAGGCCCAGTGGCTGGTGGCACACTGGTTTTGTTTTTTTGTTTTGTTTTGTTTTGTTTTGTTTTGTTTTGTTTTGTTTTTGTTTTTGAGGGGGAGGGGAGGGCAGGGAAAGATAGAGTGATCGGAGAAACATCCCAGAGGACCTTTCAGGAGGGGAACTGATAGCTAACAGAAGGTGGCAAGGGGTGCCAGCCTCCACTTCCAGCCAGAATGCCCCAGGGAGATCTAGGAGCTTCTCCCTCTGAAGGCATAATTCCCAGCCCCCCAACCGTGGCTGAAGCTGCCTGCAAAGATGTCAGCTGTGCTCATGGTGGGCCACCCAGAGTGCCGCTGCCACACAGCAGCACTTCAGTTTCTGGGACCAGATGGACACATGGATTCTGCAACATAGAAACCACCTGCCAAATAATCTTTTCTTTGACCTTGAAGTAGAGGTGACCTTGCTAAGATTGTGCTAGTTATTAAGCTACGGAAATAATCCATGCTTTTGTTAATAGTCGCTTACGTCCCCTGTCCCTAAGACCCTGGCTGTCCCCAATCCAGATGCCCCTGGAATGCCCCAATTCCCTTAGCCCAGCAAGCTTCAGAGCTCTGGGCATCAATTCCCAATAATAGGAGCTTTAAAGGTCTCCCTCCAAGGGCACTGGCTTCCCCAGAAAACCCAGGTGGGCATCCATACACTGTTCTTGTGCCAAGTCCCAACTTATCTATGTGCCCAGTGAAGGCACATGGGTCCCAGAATCCTACAAACTTCCTCTTGGCCTGCCGAGGGCACATGTGTGCCTGCTGGCATCCCTTTGTGTCTCTCAAAGAGGTTGCAGAGTCCAGCCAGCACATTACTAGCTACTGTTGGTGTCTGCAGGCCCAGAGTTTCTGGAATCCAGGGCCACAGCACCCTGCTGCTTACCTAAACTCCGCTGGCTGGGTAGTTGCCCCAGAAAGGAAGGGGAGCCCTTCCTCCACCCATGCTACCTGGGACACTCAGACCTGAGGTCACACACAGGGGGTGGGGGGTTCCACTTGTGTGAGTACATAACCCCAGGCAAGGCGCTTACTGCCTTTGATGCCCCCATCATTTCAGCGACACTAATAAACTAGCTCATTTGTGAAACTGTCAGGGATAGGTGAGGTCATGTCTGTACCGCGCAATGAGCTCATCCGAAGCCAGACTCTGTGTAATTGCAAGGTGGAGGAGCTATTGTCTCAAAAACTTTCCATTCCAACAAGTGGCAGAGGTGGTAGGACTGTGATGACCAAGAAGGTGGCCCCCAAAAATGACAGTTCCAGCCAGAGGGCTGATCTTTTGTGTTCAAGATGAGTATGAGGTCCTGGGAATCCCCTCTGGACGGTTGTTCTGGTCTGTCCCCTTGGTTGCTGGGACATGAGTACCTAGTTCATGCAGTCTGCTCTGTCTCCTTGCAGGCTTGGGCTGTCTGATTTCTTTGCTGGAAACCTCCACAGATCTTGCCGAACTCCTGAACTGTGTGTCTTCAAACCTCCAAGCGCTTGTCTTCCAGGTACAAAACTCGGAATTTTTACAAGAAAGGAGTGGGTGTTGATGCTTCTAGCTAAATTATAGCCTCAAGTGCCCACCACTTTACCTGTACGATTCTGGCCTTGACGGCCATAGAGGTGGTAAACTCGCTCAGAACTCATCCTTTGTTTCCAAAGAGAGTAGGCCTTGGGAGAATGAACCCCTTTGATGTACTGGCTGTCCTGAGGGCATGAGAAAGAGGCTCTCTGATGATCGTAAGTATGTTGGGGTAGTGTGGGTGTTAGGATAGGGACATGGCCTCTCACCTCTCTGACAAGGCACAAAATGAGGAGGTGGCATGTCACAGTGTGTGTGTGTGTGTCTGTGTGTGTGTGTGTGTGTGTGTGTGTGTGTGTGTGTGTGTGTGTGTGTGTGTGTATACTGTGTTTGAGTGAATGTAGGGTAGCATATATGTCTGTGAGTGGAAGTGTGAGATAGGAGGATGTAAGGTATATGGTTGTGTATGTGTTTGGGTAAACAGATGTATGTGAGAATAAGGAATGTGTCTTGAAATGAATGTAGGTAGGTGTGCACATAAACATTTGAAAGAGAGAAAGAGGTGGTGAGGGGTGAGCACCGAGGGGACTGTTGAGGGGGTGTGAGCACCAGGGGACTGTTGAAGAAGAAAGGTCTGCCTTTGGGAATAGCAGTGTCCATCTGGGTGTTTTACAGACATTTCCCAATAAAGTTTGAAAAATCTCAAAGGGTGAGCATGGTGGCGCACACCTTTAATCCCAGCATTCAGGAGGCAGAGGCAGGAGTAGCTCTATGAGTCCAAAGCCAGCCTGGTCTACATAGCAAGCTCCAGGACAGCTAGGACTACATAAAGAGACCCTGTCTCAAGAAATAACAAACAACAACAAAAATAACAAAGAAGGGAGAAGGTGGAGGACAAGGAGGACAAGGAGGTGAAGGAGTACGAGGAAGAGGAGAAGAAAGGGAAGGGAAGGGAAGGAGGGAGGAAGGAAGGATGAACAAATGAACTGGAAGGTGGGCTGCAGCTGTGTGTAGGTTGTATGAACCTACACACATGTGTGAAGTTGAGGTTTCCACTCCCAGGACCGCCACCCCCCCCACACACACACACACACAACACACACACAAGATGGATTGCCAATGGATGTGAGTAGATTGCTTCTTCTGGCAGCAGGTGTGCCTCTAGAGACTCCTTTCTCTGGGATTCTGGGCTTGACTTCCATCACCAATCAAGTGGACAGCAAGCCCCGAAGAGCCAAGAACGCCAAAAGAGAAGTTCTAGCACCATGCCCGTGGTCCCCGTTGAGCAGGGCAGCTCAGGGCTTTGGACCCGAACTTAGATGGAATCCAGGACTCACCTTCAAGGTGACAAAGAGGTCCTTGGAGAAAGCATGGGACTTGAAGTGACGTGTGAAAGGGGCACAGCACGAATATCAGCTGAGAGAGAGGGGCAAAGGTTTGGTGAGGAAACACTGGCAGAGATGAGTGTATGGGGAATCGGGAAGAGACACCGCAGGTCATAGCCAGGAGCCTGGGGCCTGGGAACTGGAAAAGGGCTTCAGGCATTCTCCCACCACCACTTCCCTGTCCCTCCCCACCAGCCTTCTTGGTAACCCTGACCAGGGTCTGCACCTCCAAAAGGTGAGCCAGAAAAAAATGCCCAAGGAAAGAACCAGGAAGCCCTTTCCAACTATTCTTCTCATTCTTTACTTCTTAAAAGATAATCACCCCAAGTCATGTGAGGAGGGTGCACACCTATGACTAAGAAACTGAGGCAGGAGCAATTGTGGATTCAAGACTAGCCTGTGCTACATAGCCAGGCCCTGTGTAAAAAAAAAAAAAAAAAGTAATAATAATTGTTCCAGATTCTGTACTGAACATGGATGGGCTGGGCAGCTGAAGGCTTGTACCATGTCAATGATGCAGGCTTTCTGGAGTCTGTCCGTATTTCCATATATTCACTCAGTCTCCATTTTTAACCTAGAAATCTTTTAACGCCAGTTGTGCCTCTCAGCAGCCAGACTGACTCGTTCACGTGGCAAGCCACACGACACCGTGTAACACCACGTGTTGCCCGTCTCTACCACCCTCTCGGCAGCCTTCGCCAGTGAGGCGTGCTAAGAAAAACGGTGTTTTTGCAAGAGAATGCCTTGGAAGGGCTCGTTACTATAAAATAGTTTAGCTGGTTTAAAACAAACAAACAAACAAACAGATGGACTGTCAATGAAGCAGCCCGTGCAGAGCCCTGGACCTGTCCAAGATGACTAATGGCCTCTGGTTGTTAGCATCTGGCAGGATGCTAGCGGAGGAAAATGTCCAGTGTGGTTCTCACCTTGTTCAGTTTGGACCCAAGAATACTTACCAAATGTAGGAACAAGAAGTGCCTTGGGGCCCCAGCAGTGGGACAGATACTCCCTGGTGTTGATGGCCACCCAGAGCTCCCTCCCAGGTGCCTTTAGGGAGCACCCCCACCCCTGTGGCCTGAGAATGTGGCTCAGTTGGGGGAGTGCCTGCCTAGGAGAGATGAGGTCTCATCCCCCAGCGTCTCATAAAAACTACACACAGTGATGCAACCCCCATAATCCGGGCCTTCAAGGTGGAGGTGGGAAGACCAGAAATTCATCACCCAGCTTGAGGCCAGGTGCGGTTACATGAGACTCTGCCTCAAAAATCGATCAATCAAGTGCTCCCATGTTTTCGCAGTCACAATATCCTTCAACCTCACTCTCACTCTACCACTCTCGATCACCAGTGGGAGCCCACGCAGCAGCGAGAGATGTGGTCAGGAAGATGGTAAGACTCAGAGAAACCCTTTGGCAGATGTAGGTTTTCTGTGGGGGGGCCAGGAAGAAACGCAGTAAGAAGAAAAGACATTTCACCATCTCCAGCCAAGCTTTCCCTCTCTTCTTCAAAGGCATGTAGTTGCCAGTCATGCTGGACCACATGGCGTGTGACTGAGACTTAGGAGGGGCTTGGGCACACTCCCAGAGTAGACACATTGAAAGTTCCTAGCCTTCCATGGTTGTGGTTCACATGTGACCCAATGCCGCTCCTCATCTACACAAAGGACATCGTAGTTACATGTGGCAGCATCCTATTGACAGCCAGGTTAGTGCCAGCCACCTGGGCCACCAGATGGGCAGAGTTCTGCTGGGCACAAGGACAGGGACTCACCAACCTAGATGCTCACACCCCTAGCAGCCAGAGCTGTGTTTCCCACACAGGCACCCTCGTGTTCTAGTGCTGGGGTTCTGTGCCCCTCTGTCAGTCAGACCTGGATACCAGCGGCGCTCCTCCAGGGCACTTCAGTGCTGCAGCCCTTCTCTGTGGTACCCGCTGAAGCGAATGAATTGAACAAAGTTGACTTGAGCAAAGAATGGTTCCTGCATTGGGCAACCCCCAAAAGCCAGAGACGGTCCCCTCTGTCACGTCGGCAGTGTCTGTAGATAGAAAAAGGCTAAAGAAAGATGGAATCGGGACGGAAAGGCAATGGGCCATTAAGGTTCAGGCAGAGTCGGATCATGCCAGGGGTTCTGGACCTTGGCTAGTTTCCCCTTCCTTCCTCTCTAGCCTCCTCCTCTCCTCCGTCCAGCCCTCTCTCCTGATTTCTCAGGTCAGATAAAAACCTTAGTTTCCTTTCGGTGACAGAGTGTCAGCCTGAGTTAATCCATAGGAACCTGTTGGGACTCAGCGCAAGACTCAGTTCAAGTCAGTGTCCCCCCCATAAACTTACTTAACACACTTCACAGCTGGCCTGGCTTTACTAATGGTGTGGGGACTGGAAATAAAACAGGCCAATTTCCTACCTCCCTGCTTCTCTCCACCTTTTCAATGGGCTCTGCCCCCAGAAAACCGTCTGCACAGAAAACAAAGGAAGCTTGTTGCTAGAGTCCTAGACCTAGGCCTGACTCCAGTGGTCCTAACAAATCAGGTCCTGCCACGCATCCCACAAAACAAATG